AGTAGTAGTAGTAGTAGTAGTAGTAGTAGTAGTAGTAGTAATTGTAGTAGTAGTAGTAGTAGTAGTAGTAGTAGTAGTAGTAGTAGTAGTAGTAGTAGTAATACTAGTAGTAGTTATTGTAGTAGTAATACTAGTACTCATAATAGTAGTAGTAGCAGTAATAGTAGTAGCAGTAGTAGTATTAGTGATCGTAATAGTAGTAGTAGTCGTCATAGTAGTAGTAGTAGTAGTAGTAGTAGTAGTAGTAGTAGTAGTAGTAGTAGTAGTAGTAGTAGTAGTAGTAGTAGTAGTGGTGGTGGTAGTAGTGGTAGTAGTAGTAGTAGTAGTAGTAGTCGTGGTTGAAGGAGTAGTACGCGTAGTACGTGGGAAGAGATAGAAACAGCAGTTGAAGTATATTGTGTCCAAGGTTTAAGCTTGGTGAGTACAAGGTGCAAGGCACTGTGAACGATTACGAGACGTACTCGTACAACGCGTCAGGATATATATATATATATATATATATATATACTTTTTAATTATCAGCAGTCTCGACGATCGGAGACGCTACTGGATTAAACCAGCCAGAAATTTGGGTGAACATGGACGAACTAGAAAACATGATGAGCTGTGGCAACTTTTACAACATGTCAGTGAAAGAAGATAGGCGATTTGGGGGTGTTAGAGGCTTGGTGTGGCCAGAATGCTTCGAGGCTGCAAACGACGTATAACGGTTGAAAGCGCCAGCAGAGACAATGGACGACCAATCCAACGCGAAGCCAAGCACAAACCGAAAGCTGCACCCATCCCCACACCACAAAGCAGATCCGCCACCGTGCCTTCAGCACGTAGAGGAGTACCCATCGGTCGGAAGAAGCAGGTAGAAACATGAAGTAGGAAGGCGGATAGAGTAGATTGGGTCGGGGCCCGCCCAGGGAGCAACCAAACGCAGCAAAAGCATATAAATGTTTGAAGTAAGAAGGCGATTAAAGTAGATACGGTTCTGGGAACCAAAAAAATTACCCCAGTGCGACCCTACCTAGGAGTTGGAACCCCTAGGAAAGCAGCATTAGTAGTAACAGTAACGCTAAGCTAAAGCTAAGCTAAACCTAAGCTAAAGCTAAGCCACAGCTAAGCTAAAGTTAAGCTAAATCTAAGCTAAAGCTAAGCTAAAGCTAAAATAAAGCTAAGCTAAAGCTAAGCTAAAGCTGAGCAACAGCTAAGCTAAAGCTAAGCTAAAGCTAAGCTAAAGCTAAGCTACAGCTAAGCTCAAGCTAAGCTAAACGCTAAGCGAAAAGCTAAGCTAAAGCTAAGCTAAAGTTAAGCTAAACGCTAAGCGAAAAGCTAAGCGAAACGCTAAGCTAAAGCTAAAATACAGCTAAGCTAAAGCTAAGCTAAGGCTAAGCTAAAGCTAAAGCTAAAGCTAAAGCTAAAGCTAAAGCTCCCAGGGGACTGGGGGGAACCGCGGGGCGGGGACTGGGGGAACCGCCCGGGGCGCTTTGCACTGCCCGGCCCCTTTAAGCTAAGAGAGTAAGAACCCTTCTAGGCAGAGCCTAAGTAGGGAACTACTTTCAACGACCGATGAGTACCCCAAGGCTCCTGCAGCCCTGAGAGGTTCCAGGGCTCAAAAGTTCGTAAGCGCCCGGACCCCCCAGTGTCCCAGGCCTCTAGGGCGGTGGCCGCGCCCAACAGGACCCCAAAATAACCGCAGAGGCCCCAAAAAGGCCCCAGGAGGGCCCAAGAAGCCTCCGAAACAGCCGATGAGCTCTCCAAGATGCCCAAGATAGCATCACAACGCCTCCAGAGGCAACCCCATATGCTTCAACGGAGCTTCAAGAGCAGCCTCCAATAGGGCCCCAAGAAGCAGAATTCGTTTATTGTCATCCTGTTTTTCTGGAATGCTTCAGCGTTCGCGCCCTTCGGCTTCCCGACGCTCCAAGACGGCCCACGAGGCCCCAAGATCGCCCCAAGACAGCCCCAGAGGCCCCCAAGAGAGCCCCAAGACGGCCCCAGAGTGCCCCAAGACGCCCCAAGAGGCACCCAAGACGGCCCAAGAGGGCCCGAAAACGGCCCCGAGAGGGGGCCTAGATGGGGAACCCGAACAGACTTTCGAGCCCTCGGCCCCGAGGACCCCCAAGAGGCCCCAAGAGGATCCCAAGAGGCCCCCGAGAGGCCCCCGAGAGGCCCCCAAGAGGCCCCCGAGAGGCCCCCAAGAGGCCCCAAGAGCCCCCCAATAGACCCCCAAGAGGCCCCCAAGACCTACAAAACTGCTCCCAAAAGGCCCCCGAGAGCGCTCCGAAGAGACCCGAAAAAAGCATCCCTGACAACTCTAATCCAAAACCCAGGCACAGTGGCGGAATGGGCCGAAGGCCATCATCCGCCGCCCCCTATTGGCTTGCCAACGGGGTGCCTGGCGTGCTACATCCCATACGGCTTGGTTTCGGTTCTTTCCAGAAGAACTCCCCCTAAGGCTTCGGCCCAGCGCGCCGGCTACCGTGAAAGCTCCAGGCGCGGCTTGTGCTTCTCAAGATGGCTCCAAGACGACCCAAGATGGCCTCCAAGACGGCCAAGATGGCTCTGAAACTCACCCAAAATGTTGGAAGTTGACCTCCAAGACGGCCCAAGAGGGTCCAAGATGCCCCCAAGTTTGCGCAAGAAGCCTCCAGAACGGCCCAAAACGACTCCAGAGGCCCCCAAGAGGCCTCCAAAACGGCCCAAGAGGCCTCCGAGAAGTCCTCCAGGAGGGCCTGAAGAGGCCCCGAAATCATTGATGTTCCATCGGTTTTTGCTGGTTTGGGGACGTTGCATATTTTCGGCCTTCCGACGGCCCAAGTCGGCCCAAGAGGAACTCAAGATCGCCCCCAGAGCGCCTAAGAGGCCTCCGAGATGGCCCCAGGACGGCCCAAAAAGCCCCCAGGACAACCCAGAGAGGGGCCCAAGAAAGCCCAAGAGGCCTTCATGACGGCCACGATGGCCTCCAAGACGGCCCTGAAGCGCCCCAAGAGGGCCCCAAGAAAGTCCAGGGAGGCCCCCGAACAGCTTCCGACGGCGTTAGACGACCCAGGAACGCCCTAAGACGGCCAAGGAGGCCCCGAACAAGCCCAAGGCCCCCAAGAGGTCAAGGAAACACCCAAAAGGCCTCCAAGAGGCTCCCAGGAAGCTCCCGGGAGACCCCAAGAATGCCTCAAGAGGCTCCCAAGAGGTCTACTCCTTCCCGTTTTCCTCCTCCTCCTCCTCCTCTTCCTCCTCCTCTTCCTCCTCCTCCTCCTCCTCCTCCTCCTCCTCCTCCTCTCGTTTCCTCCTTCTCCTCATTCTCCTTTTCTTCACGTGTTCCTCGGAAGGTTTCAACGACGGCTGTGGGAACATATGGTCCGAAAACGTGGCCAAGCTCTAGCCCAATTTTCGGCCACATAGGCTCTTCCAAAAAGATAGGGGCAGCGGTGAATCGCCGCAGGTACCCTCGATTATAAAACAACAAATGGAAACATGCCCTTCCAGCAGATGCCCCTGACTTATCGCAAGCCCTGCACGCCTGCCCTCTCTTCCTTACCTTCATGCTATGTAAATGTCTCTCTGCTAAATATCTTCAATGTACCAAGTCGCTGCGTACTTGTTGTGTCCTCACACCTCGCTTGGCACTCTGTTGTCCCAGACGTATTCTCAACTGTATACATACATGTGTAAACATAAATTAGGTGTATGATTGTCACCCTATGTATGTATGTCTCTCCAGTTATGTATCTATATGTATGTGCGCATAGATATGTACAGATATCATGTCTCCAGATGTATACGCAAACCTAACTTCGCCCTATGCACTCTGACATGTACTCTCACTATATGTACTACCCCCTCTCGCTATGACCTCACTATCCGTCTTTCAGTATTATATATGACAGTGGTCGTACATTCTCTCTCCCTCTCTCTCTCTCTCTCTCTCTCCAATCCCTCTGGTCACCTCTGCTCGCAACCCGCTCATTCCTGTATTCTCTACGATCAAGGACCCAGGCGCTTGCCCACAACCAAGATATAACCGCAAAATCTTACGCTGCCAAGAATCCGAAAACGGAATCCTGGAAGCCGAAAACCCACTTCATCTCACTTACAATCCAAGGGACCCCAGGCCAGGGAAACCGATACTGGCGGGAACCGGGAAAATCGGGAAAACCGATACTGGCGAGAACCCCAGAACCAGGGACCGGGAACCCGGGAACCCAGCCGCCGAAATCGGTCCGGAAGCCAAGACCAGGAACTCGGGAACCCGGAACTAGGAACCTGGGAACCCAGCCGCCTACCGAAATCAGCCCAGGGCGTTCGCCAAATCCTTCAGTATCCGCGAGGACCCCGTCAGTGCAAGCACCGATTGGGAGAACACACGTGTGAAATGCATGGCTGGCGTGCTGCTGCTGTTGCATTCTGCTGCTGCGTACTGCTGCTTGCTGTCGCCTCTGTTACGCGCGGCTGATTGATGCTGCCTGCGTTTGGTTGCTGCTGTTTGCTTTGGGTGTGGACTGCTGTCTGATGCTGCCTTCTGCTGTTAGCTGATGCTGGCTCTGCTGCCGATGGAGAGCTTCGGGGCACATCGGGGGACTATGCTTTACAGTGTCCCCTAGACAACCGAATGGCCGGGCGCCGCTTGGCAATGTCAGGTGCATCTTGCCTTCGTATTAGGCCCAGGGTACGGCTGTCACAAGACAGACCTGTGAGCTACAGAACTGCACCAGATTGACGACGGCATCGAAGGCTAAGCGCCCAGCAGACATTGCAACCGTCGGTGGTATTGTGCAGGGAGCGCGTTACTGCTCACGTCGAGGGAGATACTCGCCTTGCGAGACTGTCGGTGCAAGTCCTGTCTCAAAACGAATGTCGCGAGCGTCCGCTGTAGAGCTGCCGCGGCTGTATAATCCTAAATGGAAAGGAAGAAAGCAAGAGACAGGGAGAGAGAGAGAGAGAGACCAAGAGAGATGGAGAGAACGCTGATGTTACGGCAAGAGACTGAAGACTGATGCCGCCAATCGCACTTCTCACTGCTGATCGGTTATCCCCTGTTCTTTCAGCATCCAGCTTACAAGCTCCTCCCATGTGGGCGTCTTTCCTTCGACGCCTACCATGCTGAGCTCATGCCCCTGGCCCTCGGGGAAGAAGATCCCGTGGAAAGGCGGCTGTGTCATTGTCGTTGAGACATCAAGATCGTGCGAGTGAGCTTGAACATCTTCCCGCGATGCGTTCCGCTTCTGCTCTTCCACCCATTCCTTCACTCGCCATGGAGCCGACCCATCATCGTCGGTTTCACACTCGCCATGAATTAGTACCGCAGGCACCTTGATTTTCGGCCTGCTTCCCAGCACATCTCGCAGCTCCGAGACGTACTCCTCGGGCATGAACCAACTACTCTGTCCTTTGAAGTTCCGCTCGTAATTATCAATCGCCGGGGCCAGAAGCACAACCCGATCCACCAAATGCGGGTGCCGCTCCTGAAGAAGCGCCGCTACATAGCCACCGACTGAAAAGCCGATCACGGCGGAGAAAACCGCATTGCTGCCACTCGATGCCGTTCCCGCGTCCGACTCCAAACTTTCAGCTAGCTTCACGAGGTCACCGTCGATGAAAGAGAGTAGTCGTGTCGCATCTATGTCCCCGTTTGGATGATACGTAGGCGCATGGATGCGCACGTGCTCATAGCCCTGGTGTGCAATCACGCGCTCGAGCTGGTCCTTCACAAACTCTCTCTCCTCTCCATCGGTGTCACCAAAACCATGGAGGTACAGAAAATGTTTGGCGGGACGATTGGGAGGGGTGGATGTGCCTTCCACCGAAGATTTAGACGAGCATCTGCTGCGGAGATCCGCGACGCTGCCATTCGGAGGCGATGGGCACAGGACAGGTGGAGTCGAGGTGAGCATCCAGTCAACAAGCTCCTCCCATGTGGGCGTCTCTCCTTCGACGCCTACCATGCTGAGCTCATGCCCCTGGCCCTCGGGGAAGAAGATCCCGTGGAAAGGCGGCCGTGTCATTGTCGTTGAGGCATCTGGATCGTGCGAGTGAGCTTGAACATCTTCCCGCGATGCGTTCCGCTTCTGCTCTTCCACCCATTCCTTCACTCGCCATGGGGCCGACCCATCATCGTCGGTTTCACACTCGCCATGAATTAGTACCGCAGGCACCTTGATTTTCGGCCTGCTTCCCAGCACATCTCGCAGCTCCGAGACGTACTCCTCGGGCATGAACCAACTACTCTGTCCTTTGAAGTTCCGCTCGTAGTTATCAATCGCCGGGGCCAGAAGCACAACCCGATCCACCAAATGCGGGTGCCGCTCCTGAAGAAGCGCCGCTACATAGCCACCGACTGAAAAACCGATCACAGCGGAGAAAACCGCATTGCTGCCACTCGATACCGTTCCCGCGTCCGACTCCAAACTTTCAGCTAGCTTCACAAGGTCACCGTCGATGAAAGAGAGTAGTCGTGTCGCATCTATGTCCCCGTTTGGATGGTACGTAGGCGCATGGATGCGCACGTGCTCATAGCCCTGGTGTGCAATCACGCGCTCGAGCTGGTCCTTCACAAACTCTCTCTCCTCTCCATCGGTGTCACCAAAACCATGGAGGTACAGAAAATGTTTGGCGGGACGATTGGGAGGGGTGGATGTGCCTTCCACCGAAGATTTAGACGAGCATCTGCTGCGGAGATCCGCGACGCTGCCATTTGGAGGCGATGGGCACAGAACAGGTGGAGTCGAGGTCAGCATCCAGTCAACAAGCTCCTCCCATGTGGGCGTCTCTCCTTCGACGCCTACCATGCTGAGCTCATGCCCCTGGCCCTCGGGGAAGAAGATCCCGTGGAAAGGCGGCCGTGTCATTGTCGTTGAGGCATCTGGATCGTGCGAGTGAGCTTGAACATCTTCCCGCGATGCGTTCCGCTTCTGCTCTTCCACCCATTCCTTCACTCGCCATGGGGCCGACCCATCATCGTCGGTTTCACACTCGCCATGAATTAGTACCGCAGGCACCTTGATTTTCGGCCTGCTTCCCAGCACATCTCGCAGCTCCGCGACGTACTCCTCGGGCATGAACCAACTGCGCTGTCCTTTGAAGTTCCGCTCGTAGTTATCAATCGCCGGGGCCAGAAGCACAACCCGATCCACCAAATGCGGGTGCCGCTCCTGAAGAAGCGCCGCTACATATCCACCGACTGAAAAGCCGATCACGGCGGAGAAAACCGCATTGCTGCCACTCGATGCCGTTCCCGCGTCCGACTCCAAACTTTCAGCTAGCTTCACGAGGTCACCGTCGATGAAAGAGAGTAGTCGTGTCGCATCTATGTCCCCGTTTGGATGGTACGTAGGCGCATGGATGCGCACGTGCTCATAGCCCTGGTGTGCAATCACGCGCTCGAGCTGGTCCTTCACAAACTCTCTCTCCTCTCCATCGGTGTCACCAAAACCATGGAGGTACAGAAAATGTTTGGCGGGACGATTGGGAGGGGTGGATGTGCCTTCCACCGAAGATTTAGACGAGCATCTGCTGCGGAGATCCGCGACGCTGCCATTCGGAGGCGATGGGCACAGGACAGGTGGAGTCGAGGTGAGCATCCAGTCAACAAGCTCCTCCCATGTGGGCGTCTCTCCTTCGACGCCTACCATGCTGAGCTCATGCCCCTGGCCCTCGGGGAAGAAGATCCCGTGGAAAGGCGGCCGTGTCATTGTCGTTGAGGCATCTGGATCGTGCGAGTGAGCTTGAACATCTTCCCGCGATGCGTTCCGCTTCTGCTCTTCCACCCATTCCTTCACTCGCCATGGGGCCGACCCATCATCGTCGGTTTCACACTCGCCATGAATTAGTACCGCAGGCACCTTGATTTTCGGCCTGCTTCCCAGCACATCTCGCAGCTCCGCGACGTACTCCTCGGGCATGAACCAACTGCGCTGTCCTTTGAAGTTCCGCTCGTAGTTATCAATCGCCGGGGCCAGGAGCACAACCCGATCCACCAAATGCGGGTGCCGCTCCTGAAGAAGCGCCGCTACATAACCACCGACCGAAAAGCCGATCACGGCAGAGAAAACCGCGCTGTTATCATTGTCCGCCTGTTCATCAGGACGAGGGGCCTGATGTTGATCATTAGGGGTACCTTCGCCGAGATCGTCATCGTAATCGCCACTGCAGTTACTAGCAGTGCTAGTCATTCCACTCCATGCCGATCCCGCGTCCGACTCCAAACTTTCAGCTAGCTTGACGAGGTCGCCGTCGATGAAGGATCGCAGGCGAGTCGCATCTATGTCTCCGTTTGGATGGTACGTAGGCGCATGGATGCGCACGTGCTCATAGCCCTGTTGTGCAATCACGCGCTCGAGCTGGTCCTTCACAAACTCCCGTTCCTCACCATCGGTGTCACCAAAACCGTGGAGGTACAGAACATGCTTGGTAAGGCGAGTATCAGAGGCGGATGACATGGACCTGCTGCGGAAGCCCGCACTTCTCACCATTGGAGGCGGTGAACACAAAACAGGTGGAGTCGCCGTGGGTCTTGGTGGGCACGAGTAAAGGCGGCGCGACACAAAACCATCTGAAGTGAACCAAAATTGCGATGGAGACTCTCTGGCGCCCCCTGAGCTGTTCTGAGGCGTCTTGGCAGCCTCCTGGGGCATCTGACGTTGCCCCCCCCCCCCCCCCCCGGACTGCTCAATTCGGTACTCCCATCACGCACAGCGTACCGCATCGAGCCCCAGAGGCCGTCAGCTGGCCCCTCAAGATGGTGCAACTCAAAAATCCCCACCCCTCACGCACGTCCTGCCCCATGAACCTCCAGAGGATCTCAGCTGACACCTCGAGAAAGCGCAGAGCAACCTCCTTTCGGCACTCTTGTCACGCACCCCCCAGAAGCTCTCAGCAGCTGGCTCCACAAGACAGCGCAAAGCGGCTTCGGTTCGGCACCCCCGTCACGCATTTCGAGCCTCATGGCTCCCCCAGAGGCTTTCAGCTAGCTCCTCAAGACGGCTGACAAGATCCTCACTTCGACACACCCCGCCCTGCATGGTCTCCGTCGGAGATTCGTACTTCGGCGCACCCCGCCCGCAAGACGTGCCCATGGACCTCCGAATACCCTCACAACGACTGGCACGCATTTCATGCCCCGTGGAACTCCAAAGGGCCTCAGGAGGCGTTCGAGATCACCCGACCCCTCAAGGCGTGCCACGAGGGCCACACAAGAAATTGCAACGATCGGTACCGACTCTCGTCAGAATCATACCCACCCCAACCCAGAACGCTCACTGATGGCATTACCCCAACAAAGCACCCGAATATCAGCAAAGAACTTGCGGGGCCTGTATGGCATGTGGGACCTGTGCGACCTGTGAGTCCCGTGGGACATGTGGGGCCTGTGGGACCTGTGGGACGTCGATGGAACTGTGCGACCTGTCGGGCGCATGGGAATTGTGGAACTTGTGCGACCTGTGGGACCTGTGGGACCTGTGGGGCCCGTGTGACCTGTGAGACGTGTCCGACCTCTTGGACCTGTGGGATATATGAAACCTGTGCGGCCCGTGAGACCTGTGGGACCTGTGGGACCTTTGGAGCCTGTGGAGCTTGTGGGCCTTGTGAGACCCGTGGGACATGTGGGAAACGTGCGGCCTGTGGACCCTGTGGGACCTGTGGGGCCCGTGGAACCTGTGGGTCATGCAGAACCTGGGAGGACCTGTGGGGCCTGTGAGACCTGTGAGACCTGTGGGACCTGTGGGACCTGTGGAACCTGCAGGGCCTCTCGGGCCTGTGGGACCTGGGGGACCTCTGGGGCTCGCGCGGCCTGTACGGCCTGCAGGGCCTGTGGCGCCCGTGCGGCACGCGGTGCACGTGGGATCTATGGGGCCCGTGGCCTTTGTGAGACCTGTGGGACATGTGGGACCTGTGCGACCCGCGGGATGGGGCCTGTGGGACCTGTGGGACCTGTGACAACGTGTGGGGCGGGTGGGAATTGTGGGACCAATGAGACTTGGGGGACCCGTGGGACCTGTGAAACCTGGGGGGCCTCAGTGGTCTGTGGGACCTGTGAGACTGTGGGGCCTATGGAACCTGAGGGGCAGGTGGCGACTGTTGACTGGTGCGACCTGTGGGAGCTGCGAGACCTCTGGGACTTGGGGGACCACTGTCGCCTTTGGGACCTGCGAGACCTGGGTCACCTATGGGACCTGTGGGACCTGTCTGACATGTGGGACCTGTGAGGCCTGTGGGACCCGCGAAACCCGCGACACCTGCGGTACCTGTGGTACCTGCAGGACCTGTGGAAGCTGTGGCACCTGTGGGACCTGGAGGGGCCTCCACAACCTGTCGGACCTGCGGGAATTGTGGAACCTGTGGAACCTGTGGGACCTGCGAGACCTGCGAGACGCATGGTACCTGTGGGACCCCTGGGACCTGTGAATCATGTGGGGCCTGAACGCGCAGGTGCGGACAGTGCGACCTGTGGGGCCTGTGGGACGTGTGGGGTATGTGGCGCCTGTGGGGCCTGGGGGGCCTGTGGAGCCTGTGGGACCTGTGGGACCTGCGGGACCTGTGGAACCTGTGGATCCTGTGGAACCTGTGGAACCTATGACACTTGTGGGACCGTGGGACCTGTGGGACCCGTGGGACCCATGACCTCTGTGGCCTGTGGGACCTGCGAGCCCTGCGAAACCTGTGGGAACTGTGGGGCAAGTGGCAACTGTGGACTGGTGCGACCTGTGAGGCTTGCGACACCTGAAGGTCTGGGGGACCTCTGTGGCATGTGGGGCCTGCAAAAACTGCGACACCTGTGGGACCTGTGGGGCATGTGGGACCTGTGAGACCTTTTTTAAACCTATGGGACCAGTGAAACCTGAGAGAAACCTGCAGAACACGCGAACCCTGTGGGACCTGCGGAACCTGTGGCACCTGTAGGACCTGTGGGACCTGTGGCAGCTGGATTGACCTGCGCGACCTACCCGACTTGCGGAACGTGTGGGACCTCAGTGGCCTGTGGGATGTGTGGTACCTGTGCGGCCTGCTGGGCATGAGGACCTGGACGAAAAATGCAGCCAGCAGTGAAGCGACAGCACAATTCCTGAATGAGCTGTCACGCGAAACGGCCGCCAAACTGGGCGGTCCCGTCCCCCCTGTGGTAGCGACATTGCCGCAAGAACGCGATTCCTGCACAAATTGCGGGGGCGTCGCTCCGCGACGGCGGCCGGACCGGGCGGTTGCGTGCTCCCCGTCCCACGCGAGGCAGACGGCATTGAGGCAAAAGCGCCGTGCCTGAACAAGTGGCACGCGTGCCCTGGCTCTTGCACCAAGGAGATGCTCGAGACAGGAGGCGTTCGCCTCCTTCATCCAGGAGTTTACTATGGTGGCCGTGGGGGGGAGGACGAACGACGAACGAACGAACGACGACCACGCACGAAAATAAAGAGGTTCGAGCTCTAGAGCACAGCTGTGCAAGAGAATGAAATGTGAGCCCGTCTTAAGCAGAAAGGCTGCCGGACGGGGCGGTTCCAGGCTCCACGCCCCCCCCCCCGCGGAAGCCGGCGTGAGGGCGGCCTCGAGCGAGACGGCTGCCAGGCTGGGCGGTCTGAGGCTCTCCGCGACCCCTGGGGGATGCTTCCGTGGTCCTCGTTGCAACCACAGTCGAAACGCTGCCATAAGGGACCCTGGATAAGGAACGGGAGCGAGGCCCCTATTTTCACATCAGTGAGACTTCGATTTCCCCTCGAAAGCCTTCAGAACGCCTGAGACAAGCGGTGAAACAGTTCAGGGTCACGAAGCCCTTGTTGTCGTTTTTTTTATTCGGCGTTTCGGCATTGGGCGGAAAGGGGGGGGAGGGGGGGTCTGGTTCCAGACCTCTGCTTAGTGCGACTGTTTGCAAGAGTGCGTCCTATGGGGGAGGCTCCGCCTGCTCGAAACAGGCGCCAAAAACAGCCAAGATCTGCTCCACGGGCAAAAATAAGAATAAAAACCGATCACCTTCCCAACGATAAGGGTCATTCTTCATCGGGGGGCGCCACAAGAGGGGGGCGTCAAGGAGGGGGGGGTGTGCAAATCGTGGCCGGCTGGCATGTGCGCGGCGCCCAGGGGGGGGCCAGGCATGCACCAAAACAAGAAGAGGCGCCTTTGAAATCTGAGGGGAACTTATCATGGCCCATGCCACGATACCACCCCCCTGGTATCACCCCCTCTTGGCCGCCCACGGACTTTCTGCAGCTCGACTGTATTAAGGGGAACAAAAAGTGGCATAAAATAAAAAATAACTCGGAGGTCCGACGCGGATGTCTCGGATACGCGCTGGACCCCTCCCTGGCGCGCGGAGCGCGCCAGGGCGGCGACGGAGCGCCGCCAGGGGGGTCCAGCGCGGATCGAGAAAAATCGCGCGGACCTACGAGTTTTTTTTTTATGTTATGTCACTTTTGGTTCCCTTATTTACAGTCGAAAAGAAGTTGTTTGTTTATGTCATTATTCGTTCTCCTCTGTATCTGAACCTCTGGCGAAGCGGCTGGGGTGCACGGGCCAGGATGGAGGCCAGGCGGCGTGCCTGCATTCGCCACTCCGCCTGACCCTGCGCTTGTCCAGGGTTTGCCGAGTCGGATGTGGGATGGCTGGAGCTGACCCTTCTCGGCCTCATCCTCCATTCCTACTCCTCCTCCTCCTCCTCCTCCTCCTCCTCCTCCTCCTCCTCCTCTCCTCCTCCTCCTCCCCCTCCTCCTTCCTCCCCACCTCCTCACGGCCTCCCCCTCCTCCTCCCCTCCTCCTCCTCCTCCTCCACCTCACCTCATCCTGCCTCCTCCTTACTTCCTCCTCCTCGGCCTCCTCCTCCTCATCGGCCTCCTCCTCCTCCTCCTCCTCCTCGGCCTCCCCCTTTCCAAGACGAAGCCAGGGCAAGGATAAAAACGGGTGAGGATAAACCGAGAATCACTGAGATCTGGGTGCTCTGGAGGATGTCTCGCGCTCCGCGGCCTTCTCAGAGCGTTCAGGGGAACGCTATGAGAGCGTTCCAGAACGCTCCCCTTTCCCCCTCCCCTGGGACCAAACGTCGCATTAGAGGAAGGGCAATGGGGGGGGGAGTGGGCGAGGGGGCGAGCTCGCCAACGCACTCGAGACGGCCCACGGTAACCCTGCGACGGTCCAAGATGGCTTCAAGACTGAATGCCAGGCCCTCAAGACGGCCCAAGAATGCTCCCGGAGGGCCGCAC